GTTTTTTTTCTTCACTCCCATCAGGTGAAGTTTTTTTTCCCTCTCCGCTGTCGCCACTGCCTCGCATGGTTCAGGATTGGTAGAGCTACGCATCGATGAATTGGCTCTTCAGTGTTTGAACTCTCAGTAATGATTAAATCACACTGAACTGAGCTAAACTGAACTGAACTGAACTTAAACACTAAAAACTGAACTACACTGTTCCAGTTACTGAACCACACTGTTCCAGTTACTATGACCATTTATGTGAAGCTGCTTTGACACAATCTACATTGTAAAAGCGCTATACAAATAAAGCTGAATTGAATTGAATTGAATTAAATGAACATGAATATCACAGTTATTAATGTTTATCAACTTTTGCATGGTAGTGATCAAGAGAAAATCTTTCTTGTTTAAATATGCCTGATTATTTATATTATATATAATCTACGAATGCATTTTTTTATAATTTATTTTTCAGGGTTTTCACCTTTAATGGATAGGGGAGTGTAGACAGTGTTGCCAACTTAGCAATTTTGTTGCTAGATTTAGTGCTAGATTTAGCAACTTTTTTCAAAAAGCACCAAGCAACAAATTTAGCAATTTTTAACATTAATTTGGCTACTTTTATACATTTTTTAAAAGTGGCTGAAAAGAGCAGTGGCTGCAGGCTTCACTAAGTAGAGTAATTTGCTAGCTCAGATTGTTTTCCATAACTGTTAACTTACTGATATTTCTTAAAGGGCACCTAGGTTACCCCTTTTTTCAGATTTAATATAAGTCTTTTGCGTCTCTAGAATGTGTATATAAAGTTTCAGATCAAAATACCCATCAGATTTTTCATTATACCTTTTACAAGATGCTGTTTTATACTGATTTCCAGCAGGGGGTGGTTTTGTCGTACTTCGCCTTTAAGCCGAGTTCTGCCCGCCCACTGTTTCTACATGCCTCCTCTCTCAGCTGCGTCAGACAACAGACAGACTTAAAGGAAGAAGGTCTCACGTAGCGTTTGTGAGATACTACAGTAAGAACTAACCTTTACTAATCAGTATTGTGAAGTTGCATTGATGAGTCACACACAATATCGTTACAAAGTTAACGCGCGCGCCCGCGCACACACACCGCAGATGACACACACACACACGCAGGCAGGCAGGCAGACAGACAGAGCGCGCTTAGCTTAGTTAAGGCTAACCTCAAGTACTGTGTGTATATCTGTTATGCTAACGTACAAAATAAACCTGATTTAACTTCCACAAACCGGGATTGAAGCGTCTTCTTTTATAATTGTTCTGACACGCGGCTGTGCTGATGAAGTAAAACGCTGTAATTAATTACACACATACTCTGTTTTAAAACACTTTAAACATGTAAAACTTACTCTTAATCACATTTGATGATGATTGCTGATCCTAGCGAACAGAACAGAGCTTTTATTCCCGGTTGCTTTGCGTATGTCTGTCTTGTCTTGTTGACATATACACGCGACTACCGGAACATGTTAATGCGCGCAGCTGTCAATCAATTCGGTGGGTGGGGGGATCGCACACCTACGTAATGGTGCGATCGATTTGAAAACAGCTCCAATTGGCCGACCCTTTTTTTTGTAGTTAAATTGAAAAAAAAGGACTGGGTGTGTTCATATCACCTCAGTATGACGGTCTATACACTATACCAACACACAGATCTGTCCAAACAGCTTGAAAAGTAGATTTTTTTTGTTGTTAGTAATTTAGGTAGCAATAAATTCCAATAGTGCTATAATTGTTGCCGCTTTCACAAATGTGTTAATTTCACAAGTTAATATGCGTAAGTACACAAGCTGTGACTGTTTAAAAGAATTTAACTGTTCATTATCAGTGTAATTTTTAAAAATAAATAATTCTTATCAAAAAGTGTATTACTTTTACTACAAATAGCTCTATTTTTCATACAAATCAAAATGAACTTATATCAAATAATGCTTTTGCTGAGATGGCCAGTCAATTTGAGAAAACAAAAATTATTTTGTATTCCACATAAAGATGTTTGAGTTGTGATTACGCAATAACGTCATCATGCAAAGTAATATGTTAATAAAAACCTATTTATTGTGCATCTGGATGTAATCTTTTAATATAATATAACACACTCTGCCTCAGAGAGTAGAGACATGACGGGCTTAAGCTTGTCATATATTACGTGATGACATCACTGATATGCAAATTAGTGTGTGATGTCATCTGGCAACATTTAGCTACTTTTCGGGCAGGCTTTAGCTACATCTTATTGGAAATAGTTAGCAACACTGAGTGTTAAGTATTGACAGGAAAGCATGGGGAGCGGAGAGAGGGAAAGGATCGGCATAGGACCACAAGGGAGGAATCGAACTCGGGTCGCCGCAAGCACCGGAGTGCATGTGTCGACGAACTGACCACTACACAACTTGCGCCGAACTATGGATGCATTTGATTATATTTTACTGATCTAATAAATCTCTCTCTATTATATACACACACAATTGAAGTCAGAATTATTAGCCTCCCTGAATTATTAGACCGCTAGTTTATTTTTCCCCAATTTCTGTTGAATGAAGAGCAGATTTTTTCAACACATTTCTAAACATATTAGATTTAATAACTCATCTCTAATAACATTTTTATTTTATCTTTGCCATGATGACAGTAAATAATATTTGACTAGACATTTTTCAAGACACTTCTCTACAGCTTAAAGTGACATTTAAAGGCTTAACTAGCTTAATTAGGTTAACTGGGCAGGTTAGGGTAATTAGGCAAGTTATTGTATAACGATGGTTTGTTCTGTTTACTATTGAGAAAAAATATAGCTTAAAGGGGCTAATAATTTTGTCCCTAAAACGGTGTTTTAAAAAATTTAAAACTGCTTTTATTCTAGCCAAAATAAAACAAACAAGATTTTCTCCAGAAGAAAAAATATTATCAGACATACTGTGAAAATTTCCTGTTAAACATCATTTGGAAAATATTTAAAAAAAGAGGAAAAACATTCGAAGTCGGCTAATAATTCTGATTTCAACTGTGTATATATATATATATATATATATATATATATATATATATATATATATATATATAAAAATACATATAATTATATATTTTTTTCTCAGTTAAATAAACGGGAAACATTCTAATGAATCAAATTGCACATGTTGTTTTAATAGTTCTAAACTTTTCTTTTATCTTTGCCATATTTCTGTTCATAAAAAAATGCCTGATAATCTTTTGCAAAATGACTTGTGTTATATATTGGCCAGCCCTACGGTCCATAAAGCAAGCAGATGTGAGCAGAACTGTGACAGGGGAACAGACCCAATGTTTTAGCATGGTTCTGACTGGGATAGCACTGCTCTGGAGTCCCAGATGTCCTGCTGTTGAGGCTCAAGAGCATAATGCACTGAAGTGTGCAAGATCTACAGAGACGCCACCTGGCCAATGCAAAGTCCCGGTGACCCTTCCCCTGCCACTCATTAATAAAGGCCACCCTCAGTTTCAGAAAAACAGCTAAATCAAGAAGGAAGTTTAGCTTTAGCAATGAGGGCTATTATATATATATATAATAGTAAGTAAATAAATTGTAAGGGACATGAGTGAACTTTATTACTAAAATTTTAAGAATAAAAAAAGGATTGTTTTCAAACAGGTTTCCCAAACACTCCTGCTACACTTCTGACCTAATCTGCTATTGGTCAGTCCAAAAGATAATCCCGCCTCAAACTCCACTGGTTTATCTCATATTGCATTATTGTGATGCTCAAACAAACAATTCTAGTTTCGAGAGCATCAGTATTTCCGCCTACATATTGCACATTAGACTGAGATCAATTATGAGTGTTTACATCACAAGCTCAGCTTTAATAAATTAAATATTCTGCAAAATCTGGCATTGAAAAGAAAAAGGAAAATCCCTGATTAATGACAGCTATTAAAATCCACTACTATAAAGATCATTTCAAATTAGTATTTAACAAAGTTTATTCATACAATCTGCTAAACTCAGATTTAAATCTGATGATCTCAAATTAAATATCAAGAGTAATAAAATTGTGATTTCAGTAAAAAAAAAATGCTTAGAAAGTTTTACTCGAGCAACACAGCACAACAAAGCATATTTCCAAATTGATCAATCTATTTTTTCCAATGCATCCCCAACAAATTTACAATGCATCCATCTAACATTTCCAAAACATCCAATCAAATTATACTACAGAACCCAGGCAGCTTTTATCCATCTTAATAGAAATCATTTATCTGCTCATATCCTTGCGGATTTATTGTGTTAATGGAAGTGAAATTGGTAACACTGAAATGAGCCACATTTCAGCAGGATCAATAAAGACCCCTGGGGGTCACTTTCCCCTGCTGCATCTGCTGAAGGCGGGATTCAACCTCCTGTCTTCCCACGACCCCTGACCTGAGACAATATCCCTGCTTCCCTGCACCATTTTCCCCTTTTATCACCAGTCTGTGTAACTTATCTCCAGGTATCACCTCATAACGCACATTCTGACAAAACGTTACACTGTTTTTGACTTTTAACACTTTCAACATTGACTTTTAGATGTCATTAGAGAATGTTACAATGTCACCATACGGACGGCTATGGAACATACTTTGTATCAAGTGTGTCACATTAGAATGGATCTCTTTGGAAGGCTTTAAAACGTTACAATGTATCATTTTAGAATGATACAAGTGTGTAATTTAGAACGTATTCCTTCGTAAGCCTATAAACCGCTACAATGTAACGTTATCATTTTAGAATGATACAAGTGTGTCACATTTAGAATGCATTTATTTAAAAGTCTATCAAACGATACAATGTATCATCTTAGAACGGTATACGTGTGTCATTTAGTATGTATTCCTTTAGAAGGTTTAAAAACGTTTCTATGTGTCATTTTAGAATGATACTATGTGTCACATCAGTGCCTCGTGCGGTAAACGGGAAACATTATGTCATTCATAAATTTGTAAACAACTTAAAAGATCCAAACCCACCAGCGCCAGATGGTCCCGCCTCCATCCCATCCACTGAGCCCCTAAGGGTTCACCAAAGTCCAGATACTCAATCGCCACGGCGCCTGGCCCTGCAGGCTGGAAGCGTCCCCGACTTCCAGCCTCCTTCCCTAGGCGAGCGGGATCTTCTCCGCCGCCGCCGCTGGAGCCCCCAAACCCGCAGGAGTTGAGAGAGAAACAAAAGCTCCGTAGTTCCTATTTATATAGACCCGCTCCTCCGTGCACTTTCGTCAGTGGCTGGTCTGGCTTCTGTGTGTCGGGTTGTTGTGTCTCCTGCTTTCCGTTCAAGCAGGATTCACCAGCGGAACAAAACGCTCGACCCGTCCGTCACCCCCCCTCAGACCGAGCGAGCGCCCGTTTCTTCTTCGTCTTCGTCTTCTTCTTCTCCTCCCACTGCTGAGATTCTTGCCTGGAACTAGTCTGTTTTGTGTTCGCCCTCTAGTGTGCGCTTAAAAATCACACTGTGGTCATTTAGAACGAAAAGGAACACTCGCGCACTGCATACTACACACTACACTACATAGGGAGGTTTACTAACTGTCGGTGTTCGAAATCACTTCGGTAAAAGGGCTTACAAATAAACAAACAATCAAAAAAGAAAATAAACATTCATATTTAGATTAATATTGATTAATACAGGGTGGCATGGTGGCTAAATGATTAGCACTGTTGCCTCACAGCAAGAAGGTCACATGGTTCGGGTCCTGGCGGGGTCAGTTGGCATTTCTGTGTGGAGTTTGCATGTTGGCGTGGGTTTCTCCTGTGTAAAACATATGCCTGAATAGTTGGTGGTTCATTCCGCTGTGGAGACTAAGTCAAAAGAAAATTAATGAATAAAATGAATAAAAAAGTAAAAGTATAAAATGAATAAAAAAGTAAAAAAAGTAAAAGAAAGGAAGATTCGAGTAAAGAGAAACATGGAGAAATTCTGTACGGTTATACACTGTGCGCTTTGTAAAATGAACTACTGAAATTTAGCATAACACTGTGCAAAACAGTTATTAATTTATAAATTTTCCCTCTGCTTAGTCCCTTATTCATGAGGGGTTGCCATGAACCGCCAGGCGGCAACTATTTACACATATGTTTTACGCAGCGGATGCCCTTCCAGCCGCAAGCCAGAACTCTCACATTCCCACTCACACTCGTACACTACGGCCAGTTTAGTTTATTCAATTCACCTATAGCGCATGTGTTTGGACTGCAAACCAAGAGGAAACCCACGCCAGCATGGGGAGAACATGCAAACTCCACACAGCAATGCCAACTGGCCCTGCTGGGACTCGAACCAGTGACCTTCTTGTTGTGAGGCCATAGTGCTAACCACTGAGCCACTGTGCCACCATCCAGAATAGTCAAACCTTGGTAGAAGCAAGCTACTGAAAATTTTCAGACGAGCTGATATCATCCATTCATTAATTTTCCTTCAGCTTAGTCCCTTATTTATCACAAGTCACCACAGCGGAATGAACCACCAACTTACCCAGCATATGTTTTACACAGCAGATGCCCTTTCAGCTGCAACCCAGTACTGGGAAACATCCATACACACTTATTCACACACACACACACACATACACTACAGCCAATTTAGTTTATTCAATTCACCTATAGCGCATGTGACTGTGCATGGGGGAAAAAAGGAGCACCAGGAGGAAACCCACGCCAACACGGGGAGAACATGCAAACACCACACAGAAATGCCATCAGACCCAGCTGCAACTCGAACTAGCGACATACTTGCTGTGAGGCGACAGTGCTAACCACTGGGCCACCGTGCCACCCTTAGGTAATATCATGGCTTAAATATTTTTTCTTTGTTGTTTCTGATTTGTGATTGATGAATCATATCTAGACACTCTTACTTCCTCCAAAATGTAGTTGTGATATGTAAAACAAATATGTTTTGCACATTATTGTGTTTTATATTGTGTGTCCTGGCTGTGCGGTGACGCGGTGGGTAGCGCTGTATGAGTGTGTAGACACACACACATAAACTAGACAATTTTGCCTATTCAGTTCACCTGTACTACATGTCTTTGGACTGCAGGGAAAACCAGAGCACCGGGAGGAACCCACACGAATGCAGGGAGAACATGCAAACTCCACACAGAAACGCCAAATGAGCCGAGCCAAAATTCGCACCAGCGTCCTTCTTGCTGTGAGGCGACAGCACTACCTACTGCGCCACTGTGTCACCACAAACACATGTATAGGTAAATTGGGTAAACTAAATTGGCCGTATTGTATTTGTGTGAATGAGAGTGTATGGGTGTTTCCCAGGGATGGGTATGCTTATAAAATCTTGCCCTTTTTATTGAAAGGAATAGTTGCAAAAGCATTATAAAAGTACAATAGGAGACACTTTACACTAAAGTTTCATTAGTAGCCCTACTGAAAAAAACAGCTTAATCCAGCCTAGGCTGGTTGGCTGGTTTTAGCTGGTTGACCAGGCTGGTTTTAGAGGGGTTTTAGCCATTTCGAGGCTGGTTTGCAACCATTTCCAGCCTGGTCTTAGCTGGTCAGGCTGGGAGATAACCAGCTAAAACCAGCTTGACCAGCCTAGCCAGGCTGGAAGCCCAGCTAAAACCAGCTATGTCCAGCTTAAACCAGGGTGGTCAAGCTGGTTTTGGCTGGATTTAGCTGGTCATTTTCCAGACTGACCAGCTAAGACCATGCAGGAAATAGGTGGAAACCCCTCTAAAGCAGCCTGGTCGACCAGCTAAAACCAGCCAACCAGCCTAGGCTGGTTTAAGCTGGATTTTCCAGCAGGGAGGGCCTAAATGTTAGTTATTAGGTTAAAATCAACATTGAGGAAAAACCATATTTGCAGTCACTATGTTAACATTACTAACAAAATACAACTGAATTTTGTTAGTCATTAACTTAATTTAATAAATTGATTACGATTGCGTGATGGGTTTCAGCTGGATGGGCATCCGCTAAATAAAACATATGCTGGCTAAATTGCCGGTTCATTCCACTGTGGCGACCTCTGATTAATAAAAGGACTAAGCCAAAGAAAAATGAATTAATTATTATTATTATTTCACATTTTTAGCTTAGTTTGAACTGAAATTAGTTTATTCAACCTATCTTTTCCCTGGATTTTGTGTCAGCATAGTCCCTAAAAATATGTAAATGCAGGAAATGGGATTTCATTTGTGTCCACTTCTCAAACCAAAGTTATATATCATTAAATATATGATTTCTTGAATTTATTTTTGGATTTTATTGTATTTATTTACATGTATTAATTTTATGTGTTGTGTTTTATTTTGTTTTTTGGCGTTGTCTGTCGCGTTTCTGTGTCGTCATGTCCTGTCAGCGGAAGAAGGCGTCATCTTACAGACAGGCTGTGAGTTGGAGCTTTAAGATTTCTCTTAAATACATAAAATATATGCTTCATTTTAAGCTGATTTCGGTTTCTCTGAATGAAAGCCTCCTTTGAATGAATGTGATGACAGTGACATGTTGTTTTAACATCGCGATGTTGTTATTTTTAGGCTAGTTATAGCGCGCTCTTGTGCTTCCAAAGACGAGCAGGTTATTTACCATAGTATTATTAATCAGGTGTGTTTCATTCAGATGAACACAACGAGAGTGAGACGCTGTTTACTGGTGGAGTTAAAATTGTTCGTGTTATCATGTTTAACGTTACATGGAAAATAGGTTGGTGTGTTTGTGTACAAGGCAGACTGATATCTTAATATAATAATAATAATCCTACGTGGGGATATAATTAGCGCACTATACACTTACTATACTGTCATTTTCTTTAAAGCAAGTGACTTAATTGTGTGTAAATAATCAAACCTTTTAATGAATTGCGTATTGGCATTTGTTGGAATATATTTTAAAGTACACATAAAATTAAATCTAAACATATTGCTTTAGTTAGCTCACATTGGATGTTTTGAGGTGAACAATTCATCTGTGTATGTCATTATGAAAAAAATGTTTGCCCTTGAGATCTGAAATTAAAATTTGAAAATGCACTTCCTGTTTGTTTTCAGTTTAATTCTCAGATGACATCAGTCTGTTGTTAAGGGTGTGACTAACATACTTAACCACACCCCTCCAGCTCAGTTATGACAGAGCTTAGAATGGGTTGTTGCTAGAGCGGATACGTTTGCGGCCGGAAGTTAACGCAAATTATTTCTATTATTTATTAAATTTCTAATTTGTTGTATTTTATCAACGTCTACCCCAACCCTAAACCCAACCGTCACAGTAATGTAAAAACTGTAGTTGTACCGAGTATTAGTTATGTTATCTATTAAATTACCCAATAAAATGTATTTTTTAACGCCTACCCCCACCCTAACCCTAAACCCAACCCTCACAGTACTGTAAAAATATTAATTATTGTTATACAGTGTCATAAAAAAATGCTGCTTTATTAATGTGCACATCACACTTCCGGCCAGTCGCATATCTAGACTTTACCCTTAGAATGACCAAGAGGCGACACTCAATCCGCTTGTTAAGTGTGACGTCACACGAAGCGGCTTCCGGGTCCAAGCGCTCTATTCAACTGAATGGGGAGACTCATGAAATGGTAATAATAAACGTTTACAAAGCGATTTAAGGCTTTCGAAAATGAAGATTGCAGTATATATATATCCATGCCTAATATCCGATGGCCAGAAAGTGATTCATTTTTTTTTATTGTTAAATTTTTGGTATTTGTTATGCAGCTAGCCCAGAGATTGTTGTGTACACTATGATTTTATATAAAAATTAACTTTAATGTGTGATAAATAAAACATGATCATAAACAAATGATTTCTCTACTCAAATGAATGGCGGCTTGGACCCGGAAACAGTATTACATACGTCACAAACACGTCACCACTTAACAAGCGGATAGAACGCTCCTTTGCAACAGCAACGCTCGGCAAAAGCCCCGGATTCCGCCATTTTGGAGTGAAAGCAATGGCAAGCAGCTGCTTTGTTTTTTATTTATTTATTTAAAAAGTGCATTAAAGCTGAGATACAAACTGAAAGACGACAATACAAAACTTACTATGACAATCATCAGCACTTTTAATAGTTTAATTTTCATTCCAAAATGGCCGCCGCGCCATCTAGTGACTGTTTACCAAACTGCAGTAGAGTGTCGCCTCTGGGTGATTCTATGCTCTTTGGTTATTATGACAATAAACAGACCAGGGGTCTTTTCTTCGTACGTGGATGACTCAGTTAGCTGGATTTGAATATTGACGATTTGAAATGATCCAGGATCGTTTCGTTCTTCAAAACTCATCTGCGAGTTGTTGCCATAGTAACAGTTCTGGTAGCTCAAACCTGGTCAGGAGCAGCAGCTCATTTCATATAAACAGGATTAGATCGCGTCAGATAAAGCTAAGAAAATACTGAAAGTATGTACCGAATTCTGATATTTTCTTACTGTAGTTATATACACTTGGGAAAATAGTAAATATATTTTAACTAAGTATATATTTATAAGGTTAAAAAATATAAAACTTTAATAAAAGTACAAAGACTGCCAAAATTTACAAGAGAAAATTTATTGATATGAACTTTTTAGATACAAAAGCATTCATGCACAATATATTCAACTTTTTTTATTAAAAAGGATAATAATTTATGCAGTCATGTACGTGTTTTGACTGCTAATATGCCGGTGATTGACACTTTTACCGATATCACAATGCTTTTTTTAATGCAAAATTAATGTAATTAATTCCTTACGCAGATTAAAAAAAAACTGGAGTTGGCCTGGGCTACTATAATAAAGAAAATCTTCTTTAAATGTAGAACTAAATACATTGATATGCATTAAAATACATCATGAATCCTCTTGACATATGGAAGTGTAAAGCCTGCAGCTCACAACAAAGGTGTAAAGTTATTGCGTATCATATTTAACAAACCGTTTACTGCTAATTTGATGTAATTTTGCTCGCATGAATAATTGAATATTAATCAGATGATGTCATTACGCTGCTGTGCCGTCAGCCAATCGTTGCATTGGTGATCATCTGGTTTCGAGGATGGATAGATCTGTCCTTCACAACACACGCACGTTCTCAAATCAGTTCATCCAGAAATATTAATCTGATTCGCGAACCAAATTAGCCAGAGATCAGTTATCAAGATTAACAGATCCAGGATCTGCCAAATCATCTTAGATCATTTAAGCGAGGTACGAAGAACAGACCCCAGGGGTCCGTTCTTCGTACGTGGATTACTCAGTTAGCTGGATTTGAATATTGACGATTTCACATGATCCAGGATCATTTTGTTCTTCAAAACTCATCTGCGAGTTGTTGTCATAGTAACAGTTCTGGTAGCTCAAACCTGGTCGGGAGCAGCAGCTCATTTCATATAAACAGGATTAGATCGCGTCAGATAAAGCTAAGAAAATACTGACAGTATGTACCGAATTCTGATATTTTCTTGCTGTAGTTACAGAGATCAGTTATCAAGATTAACAGATCCAGGATCTGCCAAATCATCTTAGATCATTTAAGTGTGCTACGAATAGGGTTGTAACAATATACCGGTACGACGGTCTACCACGATTTGAACGTGCACGATTATCATACCATGAACAATTGCATATCAACGGTTTTAACCCTTAAAGACCGAGACAGCCACCCGCGGCTAAAAATAAGTATTGCTCTTAAATGTTTAATAACTTTTGATCCGCTGATCCGATTCATACAATTCAAAGATTGGCATAAAGAAGAGAATCTCAGCTTTCCAGTGCTTTATCACATAACATTCGCGGCTCCGGAGGCTCCGGAATCAGTGCGGTTACGTCATCAAAATTTGACAACACTGATTTGACAAAGAAACGCTTGTCACTGTGTCTCCGGACAAACCAGACATGATACATTGATGCATTGTCCCTCCTCCATGCCCAGATTGGTTCAAACTCGCTATATCACAACCAATAAGCATAGGTTTCGCTTTTGTTTGTGGACCAACAATGAGCTTTTTGAACAACACGGAATGAGAGATAGGCATACATTTATGCGCGGCTAAATAAAACGCAAAAAAAAAAAAGTTTTGCATGAAATAATTCTCATACTAAGTACTTTTGCATGCACAGCAGCACAGAAACATGACAAAACAGTGACACAGCAAAGACGAACTGCTGCTCTTGCTGTTTTCAAAAGACGCAAATGAAGGTGCAGCTGTTTGTCTGCATTGCATACAACCACATCCATATCCATGCTGGCACAAAAAACCTAAGGATGTTCCATATTGAATCTAGTTTCGTTATGTAACTATTTATAGTATAGTAAATATTTATATCTAATTTTTTACTGAGGATTTGCACCATGTTTATTTGGACTTTGACACATTATTTATTATTTTCTTATTTTTTTATTTGTTCATTGTACAAGTGGACACATTCTCTCACCTCAGCGGTCAAGATTAAGTCCTGAAAATCTCAACATGCTTACATTTCTTCATCACAACCTAGACTGAAAAAAAACAACGCTTTAAATACATGTTTACAGCCATAAACTTGGTATTGCACTTTTGGTCTCCCATTTATCCTGCTTATAAGGAAGGACAGTTTAAGTTTATTTTTGTCTAATCTTAAAAGACCTTGCTTGTTTATTCCTTCTAATTTAATTTATTAAAATGGGAAATTTTTCAGTTTATTTTTATAAAAGACTTCTATAGTTCTATTAAAATGGTTCTTTCAAAAGTTTGTTGAAATAAAACCTTTGTTCAGTCAGAAAACGTGTTCTTATTCTTTTCAGGGTCTTTGCTATGAGAATTACTATTTAATACCGTATACGGCGAAACCGTCAAACCGTGGTATTGTTTTAGACGATTATCATACCGTAAAAAATTCATACCGTTACAACCCTAGCTACGAACAACAGACCCCAAATCTTTCAGAATGAAATGCCTACTTTTCTTACATCCAATCATCTCGGAGTAGAAAAAAAACAAGCCACACCCACTGTTTTCTCATTTAATTTTCTGTTTCTCTAGGAACTTCGCCACACAGCAGAAAAAAACGGTTGCAGTTTCTGGTTCATGCGGACTTTAATTCCAAACTAGCTAGAACATTAATTCATATATAATGCAAATATAAATTTTTAGGTCATGCAGTGGCGCAGTAGGTAGTGCTGTCGCCTCTGAGCAAGAAAGTCGCTGGTTTGAGCCTCAGCTGGGTCAGTTGGCGTTATTGTGTGGAGTTTGCATGTTCTCCCTGCGTTTACATGGGTTTCCTCTGGGTGCTCCGGTTTCCCCCACAGTCCAAAGACATGCGGTACAGGTGAATTGGGTTGGCTAAATTGTCCATAGTGAATGAGTGTGTGGATGTTTCCCAGAGATGGGTTGCAGCTGGAAGGGTGTGAGCTGCGTACAACATGTGCTGGATAAGTTGGCGGTTCATTCTGCTGTGGCGACCCCAGATTAACAAAGGGACTAAGCTGAAAATAAATGAATGAATATTAATTTCTAAAGAACTAAACAGGAAATGCGGGAACAATTAAAATGTTTTAGATTTTTATTTTATATATTATTTATTGCTGTTATTGGTGTCTTTTTATTGTTCTATAAATTTTTAATATTTTAGAAAAGTGATGTTTATAAAACAGCCAGAGGAGCTGAAATTGCTATAAATGCAGAAAACTCTCTCTCGCTCTCTCTTTCCACCACATCCATTAAAATATCCTACATAGATCATACAAACTGCTACAATTAGTAACTGATTTGTTTTTCCACAGAAAGGGCTGTCATGTCGTGGATTCGAGAGGAGAAACTGTCCCTTTTAGAAAGGCTCACTGCCAACATCTTAAAGGTGTGTTTCTCAGGATCATACAGTAGCAGAAACATAAAGAGACAGTTCACCCAACACGGAAAATTCTGTCATCATTTACTCACCCTTCACTTTTGCCAAACCTGTTAGAGTTTCTTTAATTCTGTTGAACGCAAAAGAAGATATAAATATTTTTTTTCAAATATAATTTTATTGAATATTTTAGTGCAAAAACATGTCATAAAATTGCATTGAGTAAGAAGATAATATCTGTCATACATGTAATCTGAATTTGAATTCTGACCCCCCCCCCCCCACATGAGTAAGAAAAATAATAATAGTAAATAAGAAATTAAATTGTTATAAAATAAGAAAGAAAATGTGTATTAAATTGTAATTAAATAAACAAGTAAATAATAATAATAATTATTATAATAATGACAAAGAATTCAAAATTATATTGCAAAAAGGCCTATTACATTTCATTTGTCCAGGCTGAGTCTAACAGACAAGCTTTTAGTCTTAGAGACTTAGACGCTCCTGAATAATCAAAGAAAGGGTCCCAGGTCCGATAAAATAGAAAAGGTTTGTTCTTCAGAGCTGTGGAGAAAGCCTTAAGTGGGAAAAGAAGATATTTTGAAAAATGTTGGAAACCAGTAACCATTGACTTCCATAGTATTTGTTTTTCTTACAAAGAAAGTAAATAGTTACAGGTTTCTAACATTTTTCTAAATATCTTCTTTTGTGTTTGACAGAAGAAAGAAACTTGTAAAGCTTTGCAACCACATGCAAATGAGGGAGAATTAAATTGTTTTGGGTGAACTCTCTTTTATCTCTTTAAAAATCTGTCTAGAAGCTTAATGACCTTAATGATTTTATTATGTATCAGGCAGGGCCAATGCCCAAACATGTGGCGTTTATCATGGATGGGAACAGGCGTTATGCCCAAAAGGAGCATAAGGAGAGGCAGGAGGGCCACACACAGGGCTTTGAGAAACTTGCGGAGGTGAGTGTAGAGATGTTGACATTTGACCATTGAGTCTCTAAATCAGTTGCTCCTCTAAATAAATAAACAATTTTTTTTTTCATTTTGAATATTAAATGATGTAATTTGACTATTATTGTGACAGTTTGTGTACTTTTTAATGTTTTAAAATAACACTTACTCATCAAGGCTACAATTTTTGAAATCAAGAGATATACACTCACCGGCCACTTTATTAGGTACACCTTACTAATACCGGGTTGGTCCTCATTTTGCCTTCAGAACTGTCTTAATCCCTCATGGTTTATATTCAACATGGTACTGGAAATATTCCTCAGAGATTTTGCTCCATATTGACATGAAAGCATCACACAGTTGCTGCAGATTTGTCGACTGCACATCCATGATGCCAATCTCCCGTTCCACTACATCTGGTGACTGTGGAGGCCATTTGAGTACAGTGAACTCATTGTCATGCTCAAGAAACCAGTCTGAGATGATTCTTGCTGTATGACATGGTGCGTTATCCTGCTGGAAGTAGCCATCAGAAAATGGGTACACTGTGGTCATAAAGGGATGGACATGGTCAGCAACAATACTCAGGTAGGCTGTGGTGTTGACACAATGCTCAATTGGTACTAATGGACCCAAAGAAAACATCCTTCACACCATTACATCTCCACCAGCAGCCTGAACCGTTGATACAAGGCAGGATGGATCCATGCTTTCATGTTGTTGATGTCAAATTCTGACCCTATCCGAATTTGGCAGCAGAAATGGAGACTCATCAGAGCAGGCAACATTTTTTCCAATCTTCTATTGTGCAATTTTGGTTAGCCTGTGCGAATTGTAGCCTCAGCTTCGAGTGTTTATTAGAGTGAATGTTCCCTTTCTATCAGCTGGAACCAGTCTGGCCATTCTCCTCTGACCTCTGGCATCAACAAGGCATTTACGCCCACAGAACTGCCGCTCACTAAATATTTTCTCTTTTTTGGGTGTACCTAATAAAATGTGTGTAGAGTAGTAAAAATGAAATATTAGTAATATTGAAAATAGCACTTTTTTCATGTTTTGTTTTCCAAATCAAATGTAATAATTAAATGATCGGATAATAAACCCTTACTTCCTTCAGAACCATTTATTTGAATCAAATATGTTTGGCACACTAGATTTTGATTTATATTGTGCCTTTGGAACCTTTTGGAATAAAAAAAACTAAATAAATGACAATATAGTGATAAATAAACAACGAAATACAATGAAACTTATTTTAATTAATAGTCATTTCAGTGTTAAATACTATAATTTGCATTGAAGTTGATTAATGGGTGTCTAAATCAGACAAAAGTCTTGTCGTAGATCTCAGTTGTAAGAACAACAAATAATAGCTTGACTTCTAGTTGATCATTTGTTAAAGTAGCATAAGGTAGATTATTTTGATGAATCATCTGTTTAACTGCATCCCAACCATCACAAATACTGCAGAAGACCTACTGGGACCCCCATGGACCCAAGATTCTTATAGAAATCAGTCAAGGTTGGTGAAGGAAAAGTCATGGTTTGGGGTTACATTCTGTATGGGGGCGTGCGAGAGATCTGCAGAGTGGATGGCCACATCAACAGCCTGAGGTATCAAGACATCTGTGCTGCCCATTACATTACAGACCACAGGAGAGGGCAGATTCATGAACATTATTGAGCATGTCTGGGGTAAGATGAAGGAGGATGCATTGAAGATGAATCCAAAGGATCTTGATGAACTCTGGGAGTCCTGCAGGAACGCTTTCTCTGCTATTCCAGATGACTTTATTAATCAGTGATTTGAGTCATGTCAGAGATGTATGGATGCAGTCCTCCAAGCTCATGATGGAGTCAGACACAATATTCATTCTGTCTCCACTGCAGCAGGACTTTATATTCAATACTGGACATTATTTCTGTTCAGAGACAAGACTTTTGTCTGAGCAAAGTCAGACCTTACTGTCCTAATGAAATCCTTAAAAATCAAGGCATGATCATATTTATTGTGGTCAAATAAGCGTAATCTAGAGGCCTTTGCCTTTCTTATAAGCCACGTCCGATACCAAATGATCAACTAGAAGTCAAGTTATTATTTGTTGTTCCTAAAACCTAGATAGGAGACAAGTTTTTTGTCAGGTAGTGTATTATTACTATTTAAAAAGGCACTTTTTTGATTTGACTATAATCTAATATGATTTTTTCTGTTATGAAAAGCAGAATTTTTCAGAATCATTTTCTGTCACATGATTCTTCAGAAATTACTTGTAAATTTGCAGACACCAAAATAGCAGGTCTCAACCTTTGACCCATGTATTTCTCTCTCAACATGCATTATTGTCTCCCGCAGACGCTGCGCTGGTGCCTAAACCTGGGCATCCATGAGGTGACCGTATATGCGTTCAGCATCGAGAACTTCAAGCGATCAAAGGAGGAGGTGGACGGCCTGATGGAGCTGGCCAGACAGAAGTTCAGCCGCCTGCTGACAGAGCAGTGAGTTACTCTTCTACACAATCTGCTCATCTTCATTCAAGTCTGCGCAATCCATAATCCAGATTTTGTCCTTATTACACAGGGAGAATCTTGAGAAGCACGGTGTGTGTATTCGTGTGCTGGGAGATCTGACTCTGCTGCCTGAAGATCTGCAGACACTTATTGCCAAAGCTGTCGTGTCAACCAGAGCGCACAACAAGTGAGTATTTGTCATCTAGCTCATGTTGGAAGTTGCTAAAGGCGGAACAATTTATTACTAAAGTAACTCAAAACTGCCTCTTTATGTAATTTACACTCACCGGCCACTTTATTAGGTACACCTTAGTACCGGGTTGGACCTCCTTTTGCCTTCAGAACCGCCTTAATCATTCGTGGCATAGATTCAACAAGATACTGGAAATATTCCTCAGAGATTTTGCTCCATTTTGACATGATAGCATCACACAGTTGCTGCAGATTTGTCAGCTGCACATCCATGATGCCAATCTCCCGTTCCATCACATCCCAATGGTGCTCTATTGGATTGAGATATGTTGACTGTGGAGGCCATTTGAGTACAGTGAACTCATTGTCATATTCAAGAAACGAGTCTGAGATTATTTACGCTTTATGACATGGTGCGTTATCCTGCTGGAAGTAGCCATAAGAAGATGAGTACACGGTGTTCATAAAGATATGGTCAGCATCAATACTCAGATCTTCTTTCTGGAGTTAAAATTGTAATCCTACAGAGAGTAATTTTACATTTGGGTATAATATGAACTCCTTACCAATGCTAAAATTGAACACTTCTTAGAGTTAAAATGTACTTCAAACAATATATATTTTTTGTGAAAACGACTGAGCTGATGCAATAATTTTACTTACTGCTTTTAATTATGCAAATCCACACATTAGATTTAGAAATTCCATCAATGGACACAAATTAATTGTCACAATAGCATAAAATCTAACAGCAAAACCTTTACTAATAATACATGTTGGCAGCCAATGCCAACTAAAACCAATGGCTTAATAAAATAAAAGATATTAACGTTGTGTAAGTTAGCCTATTCGAAAAGTGAGCAGCAGGTTTCTTCATCTGATCAAGAAAAGCTAACTTTTGTTAGATGCTAAGTTCGCCACTCGCAGCGTCACAGTACAAAACAAAACACCTACAGCAAAACACATTTCTGTTACAAAATATACAACATTTTGAAAAAGCTTTTAGAATTGTCTAACAATGCACACACAACGCAGAACATAACTCCAGTTCTTTTGTGCTGCTCAGCAGGGTTGTGTTATAACAAACTTTCTAAAAATGTAACTCCATTGGCTGGGGCCTCATGTACGAAGACTTGTGTGGAAATCATACTAAAATATTGCGTACGCACAAAGCTGTAAATGTGCGTACGCAGAATCTCACGCATATTCTTTTGTACATCTGAATGAACGTGAAACTAAGTGTAACATGCACGAGCACAAAACCCCTCCCTGCCTCCTCCCCCGTATGAATATGCTAATGACTATACTATACTAAAATCAAGCAAAAAGAGAAACTTTGAACAGAATGTGAATTGTAGGTGCTGCTTTCGGAGGTAGAATGGAGAAAAGCGGTGTTATTTGCAAGTTTGTTCTCCGGAATTAACAACAAAAGAAAAAAATAGAGTGGGAGAGTTTAGCTTATGCGGTTAACACAGTTGGGTCTGAACATCGCACTGAGTGAATTAAAAAAGAAATAGTGTGATTTATTGGTGTAAAATGTTGCTGCATCTGTAACAGTCTCAGTGGCGCAGCTCATAAAACGCATGTCTACATGTTTTGACATGTTCGAGCATGAACTCGGTTCGAATCCAGCGTCTTATGAACTCTTTCTTCTTTTTTTCCCCGCTACATATCAGATTTTGCCAACTGTTTATCACGACAAAAACAAGTAGGAATCATTAATAAGTCTGTGCATCATATTTTATTTGCACATTTATTGAATGGAAATGTTTCTGATTCACGCATGCAAATTCATCTTCAGATAGTGTCTTTATAGCAATGTGTGTGCAGTAGATCGCTCAGATTACATTGGGAAAACAGGCGACAGCTGCAAATTGTGCTTTAATGTTTGGCTGGTCAACTGTATGGTATGGAAACCTTATATACCTGCTAGATGAACCCGTCTCATACAGCTGCCATTGCAAGGCTCAGACACTTTGTAGAGAGGAATTTAACAACTGCCTCTAGGAGTCGCCAATGGAAATAAAACAGACACGCACAAAAAAATGTGCGTACGCCAGCCATAAAGCTGCCGTGGAGCTGCGCACATTCCCACGTTCAGTTCATCGTTAGTAAATCCAAACGTGAGCGATTCTGAGCGTGAAACCTGGCGTACGCAAAGTTTTTGCGTACGCAGCGTTGATACATGACGCCCCAGGTGTTCAGGAACTTGAACTCCAAAATACAATACAACAGGGAGTATCCCATAACACAAAATTGTGTTAGAGTTCAAAAATAAACTCCAAAAATGTAACTCTTTCACACTTTTTTTCCTAACCCTTAATTTCTCAACTCCAGTAATTTGCTGTGTACATCCCTAAATGCATTGAGTTGGTGTCATGTGATTGACTGATTAGAAATTTGCCTTAACAGTTGGAGAGGTGTACCTAATAAAGTGGCCAGTGAGTGTACAAAATAATGAATTTATTTTATTAAATTAACTGGCCATTTCAGCAAAAACAATATTGTTTTTTGTCACTTTTAAATTTAGTTTAAAAGTTGCTAGGACAGTATGAAAAGTTGCTAAATCTAGCAACAAAGTTGCTAAGTTGGCAATACTAATGCTTGTTTATTGTGGCCAGGACTAAATATGCATTTACAGATTATTTTTATGATATTTTCCTGAAAAAACAAGACTCTTTAAACTCAAAAATGAACTTTGTTTATTTATTTTTTCACATTATATGTGTGTAAATTATATGTTTCATCAGTGTGATGTTGTTCAAGCTCCGATTTGATGTAATTCACGTCACATGTATTCATTTGTTCATTCATTTTTTTTTCGTTTTAGTCCTTTTATTTATCAGGAGTCGCCACAGCAGAATGAACTGCCAACTATTCCAGCATGTTTTATGCATCGGATGCCCTTCCAGCTGCAACCCATCACTGGAAAACACCCATACACTCTCATTCATACACATACACTACGGCCAATTTAGCTTACCCTATTCACCTACAGCGCATGTGTTTAGACTGTGGGGGAAACCAGAGCACCAGGAGGAAACCCACGCCAACACAAGGAGAACGTGCAAACTCCACACTGAAACGCCAACTGACCCAGCCGAGGCTCGAACCAGCGACCTTCTTGCTGTGAGGCGACAGCACTACCCACTGCGCCACCGCACTGCCCCACAGCATTCCATGACTGAATAAAAATGCAGAATTTATTTCAAACAGAAACTGTAAATAGTCTATACTCTCGCTGGTTCGAGCCTCGGCTCGGAGTTTCAGTGTGGAGTTTGCATGTTCTCCTTGTGTTGGCGTGGGTTTCCTCTGAGTGCTCTGATTTCCCCCACAGTCCGAACACATGCGCTATAGGTGAATTGGGTAAGCTAAATTAGCCGTAGTATATATGTGTATGAATAAGTGTATGGGTGTTTTCCAGTGATGGGTTGCAGCTGGAAGGGCATCTCATTTTGGATTATTTAATACATCCTGAGTAATTTGACCAACCCCAATATTTGTAACATTAATGTGTGCTTTCGCATCATAATCTCTCACGTTTCTCTGCAGGTGTTTTCTGAATGTGTGTTTTGCTTACACGTCGAGACATGAAATTGCAAATGCAGTGAAGGAAATGGCATGGGGAGTCGAGCAGGGACTGATCAAATCCAGGTAAACTTCGTTTTATTGAAACAAGTGCAGCAAAACAATAGCAGCAAGTTTATTATTAATAATTGTGGGTTTTATTTTTCAGCGACGTGTCTGAAGTTCTCCTGAGTGAGTGTCTGTATAGCAGTAATTCTCCAAACCCTGATCTGCTCATCCGTACATCTGGAGAAGTGCGTCTCAGTGACTTCTTACTGTGGCAGGTAATGGAGATTTCTATATTAGTCACTATCATAGCAAACAGTGCATCCGGAAAGTATTCAACGCGCTTCACTTTTTCTACATTTTTTATGTTACAGTCTTATTCCAAAATGGTTTAAATGCATTTATTTCCTCTGTATATTCCACACAATCCTCCACAATGACAATTTGAAAAAAAGAGTTTTTGAAATTTTTGCAAATTTATTACAATTAAAAGCTGAAGAATCACATGTACATCAGTATTCACAGCCTGCTATTTCCGGATGCACTGTATATTGATTATTGTGGCAGGTCTAGTTGAAACAGAACAGAACTTTTTAAGACAGTGTTGAAGCAACAGGCAAAAGCAATACATACCTTTAACTGTACGTTCACACCGAAAGCGGCGACAGCGTCAAAGTAGCCGGAAGTCATTCATTTTCAATGAGAGCCGGCGGCGATAGGCGGCGAGGAGCAGCGCGGTGCGTCTTCGCCGGCGTGAGCGTCGAGGAGAGTTGAAATGAAGTCAACTTTATGGTAATGAGCTATGACGCGGTTCGGCGGCAAGCAATAAGAATGAAGACGTCCATCGCTTGATAGCAGTTCAGAGAACACAGACCTGTGAACTTTGGTTCCGACCACAGTTGTTCCTAAGGGTTTGATTATTGCGGTTGCCGGATCCAATTTCCAATTATTTAAAATTTTTTCCTACAGGAACATACATTAAGTTACTGCTGAGTTACTGATGTTCATTAAAGTTATATAAATTTATCTTAAAAAAGCGGGAATCTCACGCGATGTGACTGTACAAAACAGTACTGCTGCTTCAGGATATTTCAGACATATGGACACATATTGGATAAATAGAGCAAAGCCACAATGCACGCAACTTGATCTTCCATTGTTGTATGAATTTGATAAGAAGTGCGCAACATTTTCACGCTAGAAACATGTTTTATGCAGGAATGTAACTGATATGGTGCAACGGCTCCTTTAAATATGAGATCAATGTAGCGAGTTTTGACGCTCTCGCTGCCGGAGCTGAAGGCAGAGAGCGTTGTCGCCAGGGCGGCCAGAGCGACCTTGGACGCTCTTGCCGCTTTCGGTGTGAACGTACGGTAACTAACACTCCATAACTAAAAATAATATTCCACAACAATAATAATCAGATTAACACCATGATTCTGTCGCCCCATTCTTACCCTAATAAACTTTTTCTAAATAAATAAACAGCTGGCAAACCACCAAGCAAATTTCTTCTTCTTGCATGTATCTTCTGAAAACTTTTGATTTTACCCCACACAGAAATACAAAAGCTTCTTAATGTTGTAATGTAGTATGTAATGAAGTTGAATGATGATTAAATAATATGTCTTTTTTCCATTATTCAACTTTTTCCTCAATGATGTTATACTCCACAGACCTCGTATTCGTGTCTGGTGTTCCAGTCGGTCCTGTGGCCCGAATATTCCTTCTGGAATCTGTGTGAGGCTATTTTGCAGTTCCAGCTGAGTCATCGATCAATCCAGGTGTGCCATAACGCTTCTGTTGTTCTGTTTGTATGGAGAGTTTTCAGCTTGTTTGATGTACCTGCTGCATAGGGTGCCATTCACTATATACAGCATGTACATAGATTTGCTTTAATGTCTCAATTAGACATACGGTTGAAGTCCTCCTGTGAATTTGTTTTTCAGATATTTCTCAAATTATGTTAAACAGATTCAGGAATTTTTCACAGTATGTCTGATAATATTTTTTCTTCTGGAGAAAGTCTTATTTGTTTTGTTTCGGCTAGAATAAAAACAGTTTTAATTTTTTTTAAAACAATTTTAAGGTCAATATTATTAGCCCCCTTAAGCAGTATTTGTTTTTGATAATCTACAGAACAAACTACTGTTATACAAATCTTAATTACCCTAACCTGCCTAGTCAACCTAATTAACCTAGTTAAGCCTTTAAATGTCACTTTAAGCTGTATAGAAGTGTCTTGAAAAATATCTAGTCTAATATTATTTACTGTCATTATGGCAAAGATAAAATAAATCAGTTCTTAGAAATGAGTTATTAAAACTATTATGATTAGAAATGTGTTGAAAACAATCCTCTTTCCGTTAAACAGAAATTGGGAAAAAAATATACAGAGGGGGGCTAATAATTCTGACTTCAACTGTATGTCAATATTCAGTAATTCAATATAATTGTATTAATAAACATGCACAATATTGATAACATGACCACTTTAAAATACTGTAAATAATTATTTAACCTTTTATCAGTGCTTAGAGACCTTATTGATTATATATATTTATGTATATTTTAAGAATTATGTTTATTGGATTTTCACAATATACAGACAACAATAAATCTTCAAAACAAATATCAACAACAAAAAAAAAAACAATGGAGACAAAAAAAGAGAGAATAAATAATGGAGATTAAATAATGGATTATGCAGTGCATCCGGAAAGTATTCATAGCGTTGTTCATAGCATTTTTTTATGTTACAGCCTTATTCTAAAATGAATTAAATTCCTTTATTTCCTCAAAATTCTCCACACAATCCCCCATAATGACAATGTGAAAAAAGAGTTTTTGAAATTGTTGTAAATTTATTAAAAATAAGAAAGCTGTAAAATCACATGTACATCAGTATTCACAGCCTTTGCCGTGAAGCTGTAAATTGAGCTCAGGTACATTCTGTTTCCACTGATCATTCTGAAGATGTTTCAGCAGCTTTATTGGTGTTCACCTGTGGTCAATTCAGCTGATTGGACATGATTTGAAAAGGCATACACCTGTCTATATAAGGATCCAGGGTTGACAGTGCATGTCAAAGCACAAACCAAGCATGAAGACAAAGGAATTGTCTGTAGACCTCTGAGACAGGATTGTCTTGAGGCACAAGGCTGGGGAAGGTTACAGAAACATTTCTGCTGCTCTGAAAGTTCCATTAAGCACAGCGGTCTCCATCATCTGTAAGTGGAAGATGTTTAACCAGCAGGACTCTTCCTCGAGCTGGCCGGCCATCTAAGCTGAGGGATCGGGGGAGAAGGGCCTTAGTAAGGGAGGTGATCAATAACCCGATGATCACTCTGTTTGAGCTCCAGCGTTCTTCTGTGGAGAGAGGAGAACCTTACAGAAGGACAACCATCTGTGCAGCAATCCACCAATCAGGCCTGTATGGTAGAGTGGCCAGACGGAAGACACTCCCCACCTGGAGTTTGCCAAAAGGACTGAAGGACTCTCAGACCATAAGAAACTAAATTCTCTGCTCTGATGAGACTCAAATTGAACTCTTTGGAGTGAATGCCAGCCGTTACGTTTGGAAAAAAGCAGGCAGCGCTCATCAGCAGGCTCATACTAACCCTACAGTAAAGCATGTTGGTGGCAGCATCATGCTGTGGGGATGTTTTTCAGCAGCAGGAACTGGAAGACTAGTCAGGATAGAGGGAAAGATGAATGCAGCAATGTACAGAGACATCCTGAATGAAGACCTGCTTCAGAGTGCTCTTGACCTCAGGCTGGGGTGATGGTTCATCTTCCAGCAGGACAATGACCCAAAGCACACCACCAAAATATCAATGGAGTGCCTTCACAACAACTCGGTGAGTGTCCTTGAGTGGACCAGCCAGAGCCCAGACCTAAATCCTATTAAACATCACTGGAGAGATCTGAAAATGGCTGTACACCGTTACTTCCCATCCAACTTAATAGAGCTTGAGAGGTACAGCAAAGAGGAATGGGTAAAAATTCCCAAAGACAGGTGTGCCAAGCTTGTGGCATCATATTCAAAAAGACTTGAGGCTGTAATCGCTGCCAAAAAAGCATCAACAAATTATTAAGCAAAGGCTGTGAATACTGATGTACATGTGATTCTTCAGCTTTTTTATTTTTAATAAATTTGCTACATTTTCAAAAGCTTTTTGTTCACATTGTCATTATGGGGGATTGTGTGGAGTATACAGAGTAAATAAATGCATTTAATCCAATTTGGAATAAGACTGTAACATAAATAAATGTGAAAAAAGTAAAGCGCCGAGTAATTATCCGAATTATCCGAATAATTTTCGAATGCACTGTATATAAAACAGGACTAACCCAAATAAAAACAGATCAGAAAAAGGCCTAAAAACATTCCTTATTTTTCAGATGATAATACAGTTACAAAATTCCTTTTAGCATAGGGCAAAGACTATGTGCCAAATAATCCAAATATGGAGTCCAAATTGTTTGTGTAAAACATAGGTAAGATGTTCCAAAGACATTAACTCAAAAAGTATCTTGTGTCAACCTTAAAGGGCTATGACACCCCCCCCCCTTTCGGTTCAGGTCCACCTCAGAATTTTTTCAAAAGATGCATCATAGTGGGCGTGGAGCTCCGCGAGCAAAGGGCAGGAGTGGGCGTGGCCAGCAGAGCAGGGGAGAAGGAGGGGAGCGAGCAACTGTCAGTCGGTTCACAAAATAAGACACAAACCATGAGGAGACTCATGATTATATAGTTTACAAAGTTAAAATGCAAAGAAATAAACAGTAATTTAATGCCCTGCTGCATTTGTAATTTCAAATAAAACATGGAAAAAAATTTAAAATCATTTTAAACCCGGAAGCTGAAATCAGCAGACAAAAGCTTAAAATTACCCAGTTTTCCCCACAATTAAAGCCGACAGGTGCTAACATTGTCTTAACTGATGCTCAACACACACAAATCTGTTAAAATCTCAAAAAAGTACTCAAGGATTTCATGAACCTTTAAAATGATGGACATTTATCACTAATCCAATTACGTAAAATATGTGTTCTAGTGGCATAGGTTAATAATATACTATACAATTTCTTATTAGCTGATGAAACATTCATTATATATTAACAGCTCAAACATTTTTAAGTTAATCTGGCCTACAACATGATGAAATATTGATTGAACTGTTCATTTCTATGGCTAATGTACACTAACACCATTTCTTTAAGACTCCAATCGTCAACATTAGTTAATTGAACTAAGCTCAAAATAAAAAACTACAAATTCTTTTATTCATCATAGCTGATGATCATTTCTTTGTTAATGCCTAAAACGCGTTAAAATACAGTCGTAATCTGATTAGCGGTCAGAATCATTTTATTAAATGGAGTTAATAACTAATAAAAATCTGTTGTATTTATAAGGTTTTTGTTGTATGATAACTTAGCAGCTGTAACAAATCAGGCTATTCCTCACTGCTGATTTTAATCCATTAACTAACCATTACTAATGAGACTTTATTGTAATTCTATTGTAGTTTATTATCCTTTTCCAACTATCCCTTTAATATATGTATGAGCATTTTGGCCACAGGATATTGTATTACAGCATGTGCCATTGTTGCACAAGTCATTTTTGCTAACGCTAACCATTAATCTTTCCCTAAATGGCTTCTCGATGGCATCAGTTTAGGAAGTTCAGAAGTTTATTTAAAGATGCAAAAGCATGCATTTTAATGCAGACAGTAATTGCATTTAATTTAGTTCATTACTACAGCAAAGTTAACTTCTCATTAGCTGAACCAAGACCTTTCGCTTGATTAACTATTAATCATGCCTACTCATGGTATGCAAGTTTCAGAATTACTCCGTCAACGTTCTGTCAAACACACAAAAGGCAAATAGAAACCACGAGTGACCACAGGCCTGTTGCACAAAACAAGTTGAAGTTTCAGGTTGACATATCCAAAGAAATGCAAACTAGTTAAGATCAAGTTGAGTTGTTTCACAAGCTTGATATAAACATTCTACTCTGGAGCACATGCAAATGTGACAAGTGCAGCAAACAGCACACATGTCAACATTGGGATGTGAAAATAAGGGATATGCCCACCATAGCAAGGGATATCACAACTAGGGGTGTCAAAATAATCGTTTCTTCAGTGCACCATGATGCAGACGAGGACAATTCAATATCGGTTCAGTAATAATCATAACCGGTTATTACTGACGTCATTTACCTCATATGCGCTCTGTCGCGAGGAAGGCGATCGCGAGTATTTACAACGCTCTAAAACTCATAAACTGTGCACAATTTCACTGTGTGTGTTTGCTGGATCAGTCTTTCACTGACATATACATCAAAAGCCCCTATCTCACTGAGATAGAGAGAATGAAAGTGCTCCATTTCTCTCTCTCTTTCTCTCGCTCTCTCTCTCTCTCTCACACACACACACACACACACACACACACACACACAGTGGCCCATTTGACCTGCTGGCGTGGCTTTTCTTCTCCTCTCGGCTGTTTTACAGCGTTACTTCTGGATAAAGAAACGAGCGCGTGTCTGCAGAGTTTTCTCCACCCTGTCTATCATACATCAGCTGTGAGATCGCACAAGAGCCAATTGCAACCGTTTTTGTTGAGGGTGTGACCAATCAAAGAGGTGTAAGACAACTAGACAAGGATCAGAAAGTGAGCTGGATATTTATATTTGTTTATATTATTTGCTATGCTCGTTTTGTTTAAAGTTACAGTTTGTATATCTGACTGTTTGTATTAAATGACAAAATTGTATTAAAAATAATATATAAATATAAATATATTCATACATTTAATACAAGAACTGCTGCTGTGAAGAAAATATAAAACTGTGTATGGAAAGCACCATCAATGCACCGTGATATCGAATTGAACGGAATCGATGACATGATAATCGTAACCGAACTGTGAAACTAGTGTAGGTTCACAGCTCTAATCACAACCCTAAGAAAACCCCCAAAAATGACTAAATATGTTTCTCTGGAGCTGTTTCGTTGTAAATAAACAGATAAATGATAAGTAATACATTTGCTTTATAATAATAATAAAAAAAAATATTAAGATACAATGATGTGCTTTCATTTTCTCGGTGTGAATATTCTTAAATAATGTAGCCTTTGACAGCAAGCATCAGTGTTTTTTGAGATTGAAATAAAAATAAGGGATGATGGGGCAGGGTGGTGCTGGATATGTGCGTACCTTTTGAAAAAAAAAATCCTGCAGGCGCCCCTGTTGGAATCTTCAGATGGTTTTTGCTATTTCTGCTGAGAATTTTGGTAAAAGTCTGCGGATTTCTGCGGAATTATTTTGGGAGTATCACAACTAAAATCTTAATATGTGAAATAAAAAATAATATATTTTTAACTTTTATTTAATGTTTAAAATGCAAATTCAATTAGATTCACTTTATTTGGTAAATAAAGCAAGTTTGTCATGTAATATATCTAGTAAAAGACAAACTGCATTGTACATAAACCAGATGAGCATTTTCACATTAGTCAATAATATTACTGAAATTAATTTAAAAAAACTGAATAAATATAGATTTACACAAGTAAATAAACAGAATTAATGATGGGCTAAAAAACCCATTCGCAGATTCTGGATGGGCCAACCGATAACTCACACTCAAGCACATTCAAGGCAGCATGATGATGAGAAATGTAATTAATAGTTACTATTATTGTCATCATCATCATTAGATATTCATTTAGGGATTATTGCACAAATATTAAGTCATCACAGCACTAGTTAGCAAGTTGTTTCTGGTGTTTGTTAGTCCTAATTGATGTTGTTTCCAAATACAATAAATCCCTTAATTTACAATTTGCAGTGGTGCTCATTCATTTTTGGTGGGTGCTCCTACATTTTTCCTGGTGCTCCTAAATATTTAAGGTTGGGAGCATCGGTGCTACCAAGTAAAAAAGTTAATTTCGAGCGCTGTAATTGGTCAAAAAATATTGTCAATTAACCCATTTGATCAGTTATAAATGCATAGCAATGTTTTACACATGTGTTGGTGCGATACTTTGTAGTGTGCAGTTTAATACAACTCCCTTTAGGAGTCGCCAATGGAAATAAAACAAACACACACAAGACATACACGTACGCCAGACATGACGTTGGCGTGGAACAACGCACATTCTCACGTTCATTTTATTGTTAGTAAATATAAACGTGAGCATGGAACCTGGCGTGCGCAAAGTATTTGTGATACATGAGGCCCCAGGTCATAAATATTTACCTGAAAGTTTTGGAAAAGTCCTGAAAAGTTTGTAGCAAACATTAAGGGTGTCACGATTTCAATTTTAAATTGAAATTGATCGAAATTTTTGCTCAATTTCGATTATCGAATCAAAAAATATAATCGTCGATGCTGCCACGCCCCCATGTCACGTCAGCTTGGCTTGCCAAGCGGGAAAAAAACACGTTTGTTGAAGTGCTTGTTAAACTGCAGACGCAGGAGACCCGTCGACAGAACTTAAACCCTCTCCTCTTTCAATGAAGTCGCCGGTGTGGAAGTATTTTCGATATCCAGTGAGTTATGTTGACAATGTTCGTGTTGAAAAAACACAAAAAAACACAGTTTGCAAGCTCTGCTTTGTACATATAGGGTTAGGCCGATAGACGAAGGGCGCATCGTGATCCTCCGCCCCGCCCCCATTGCAAATCCGTTCGCGAAAACACTCAGGCGCTGTTTACACTAATATGTCTTTGTTTTAAAATGGCATTTTAGAACGACAACGATTTGACATCCACAGTGGCGTGTAGCATTTCTGAGCAGCCCTCCTTCTTCACTACCGCTGAAAACACACATGACGTGACCACACACACTCATTCACACACAGACACAGACGCACAGAGCCATGCGCTCGAGACAGCAGGTCCAGGCAGTCAGAGGATCAGTAGACTGCTTCAATCTTTCACTCACTTGTACTTGGTCATTTTAGCGAACACCTCAGATACTGTTGGCTGGTTTCTGTTGGTTGTGCGTCTTTTTTACCGACGCCATTATAAGGATACAGATCACTGCCTATTCACGAGTCCCGCAGAAAAAGTGATTGACAGGTGGTAATTATGTGTGTATCTTGCCTTTATTCATTTACTGTATGATTTGTTTATGGGAAAAACAAAAACCATGCAGGTCAGGTAGTTTAAACGGTAGGCTACAAAAAATTTATTTGTTCTTAATTCATTAATCATTCATAATCGAAAATCGAATCGAACTGCGACTTTAGAACAAAAAAGTAATCGAATCGAGGATTTGAAGGATCGTGACACCCTTAGTAAACATGTGTATGAACCCTGCCTCTAATCTTAACCAAGTTGGATTTATTTAGTTTCGTCAACTCTAAACTGAAGCCTGGTTTATACTTCTGCGTCAAGTGACCGGCGTAACCCACGGCGCATGCAACGCACGTGGCTGTGCATTTATACTTCTGCGCGCTGTCTCTGTTGGTCTGCATTAACACTTCCGAAACACTAGTGGGCAGTGAGGTGTAAATGTTCCTCTGTGTCGAGTTTCTTCTTTGCTGTTTTGCTTTTCCTGAACACTTCCTGAATGTAAAAGTGGCTCAAACTCGCTCATTTTGAGGCAGGAACCGGCGGACGTGCAACAACTTTAACTATGAGGTAAACACAAAACAAAACTTTCCATCAGGAGCTCCTTCACGGGACTCCACACTTGTAAACAATCGCTACATTGGGCTGGCGTCCAGCTCGCGCCATTCACGCGGCTCTCGGTCCCGCCCAGACTCGTCAGCGCTACCAAAGCCAACCAATCACAGAGCTTGTGCTACGCGTCGTTGCAACGTGTAGTTATAATTTTTAAGAGGTGCACGTCAGCGACGCCGACGGCCACGGCGAAGGGCTATGCGTCAGCGACGCAGAAGTATAAATCCGCCTTTACTCTACAACAGGGGTCACCAATCTCAGCCCTGGAGGGCCGGTGTCCCTGCAGGTTTAAGCTCCTACTTGCCTCAACACACCTGCCTGGGTGTTTCAAGTATACCTAGTAAGACCTTGATTACCTTGTTCAGCTGTGTTTGATTAGGGTTGGAGCTAAAATCTGCTGGACTCCGGCCCTTCAGGAACAAGTCTGGTGATCCCTGCTCTACAACCTGGAGTTTGTTCTACTTCTTTTGTGCAACCAGCCTCAGGTTTCTCACATAACCTGCTTTTTATATTTAGGCCTTGATGTCATGTGTGTGCTTTGTTGCAGAAAGCCCGGGAGCTGCACAGAGAAGAGCAAGTGCTTCAACAGATGGAGTCGGATCGCACCTGTGTGGCTGAAATCCTCCAGCATCGCGGCAATGGAAAGCCTATGGATGGTCAGAGTCAGCAGAACGCACTGCTGAACTACAGCAGCAGCCGTGAGGAGAGGGTTCGAGGCTTTCTGAACGCCCTGCAGCACAAGAGAGACGCTTTCTTCGATGATTTAAGCAGCCAGGCTGTTGTGGCTTAGCGATGAACTGTTTATCTGCTGATCTGTGAATACTGTAGATCTGGAAGGACGCTTCACCCCGTTTTATGGGGCAATGGTTATGTATACTTGATATTTGAATAGAAATCTGGGAATAAATTCGCTTTGATTGAGCACAGGGGCTTCGTTTATGAACTTATACACTGTTTGACATCAATGTCATATTTAATCAAAAGAGTGAACGTCAGTAAAAGTCATTACTCTTCATTAACTGGTCAGTATTGGTCATTATTACTTCATTGGATGTTTGTCTTACTGCTTGTGTAAAGAAATACACAAGGTAGTTTAGTATGAAGGTTAAATACAGTAACACTGAAAGGTGTGGACACATTCGACTGAATATAGTTCATTCATTCATTTTCCTTAAGCTTAGTCCCTTATTTATCAGGCGTTTCCACAGCGGAATGAACCGCCAACTATTCCAGTATATGTTTTACACAGTGGAAACCCCTCCAGCTGCAACCCAGTACTGGGAAATATCCACACTGACATTGACACGCACACACACTTGTACACTACAGCCAATTTGTGTTTGGACTGGGGGAAACCGGAGCACCTTGAGGAAACCCACGCCAACATGGGGAGAACATGCAAACTCCGGACAGAAATGCCAACTGGCCCAGCTGAGACGACAGTGAGGCGACAGTGCTAACCTCTGAGCCACAGTACTGCCTGAAATTAGTTTTATAAGGAATATTAATGTACATGGAAAAGCATATCAAATGCAGGTAGTGTCCATTTTTAAATGACTTTCAATTGTCACGGCTTGTTTCTGTATTATTTAAAGATATTGACCTTAATAAATTTGATTATACAGTTGAAGTCAGAATTATTAGCCCCCCTTTGAATATTTTTTTCCTTTTTTAAATATTTCCCAAATGATGTTTAACAGGAAGTTTTCACAGTATGTCTGATAATATTTTTTATATATTATTATAATATTTTTTATTTGTTTTATTACGGCCAGAATAAAAGCAGTTTTTTTTAAAAAAACATTTGAAGGTCACTATTATTAGATCATTATTAAATATTTTTCTGATAGTCTACAGAACAAACCATCGTTATACAATGACTTGCCTAATTACCATAACCTGCCTAGTTAACCTGATTAACCTAGTTAAGCCTTTAAATGTCACTTTAAGCTGTATAGAAGTGTCTTGAAAAATATCTAGTCAAATATTGTTTACTGTCATTATGGCAAAGATAAAATAAATCAGTTATAAGAAATGAATTATTAAAACTATTATGATTAGAAATGTGTTGAAGAAATCTTCTCTCTGTTAAACTGAAATTGTGGAAAAAAATAAATGGGGGGAATAGTTCTGACTTCAACTGTATATCATATATTTAAAAAAACAAAAATGTTGCTGACAAATTGGTGAAACCAAGAGTTTTAAAGAATAGTGGTGAAGTATTTACCATTGATTAAAACTTTGGGGCCAAACTGTTCATCCAAGGCTGAAAATTCATTTTTGTCATTATTTACTCACTATTTACTTGTTTCAAACATTTTTTAGTTTCTTTCTTTTGTTAAATACATAGGTAGGTCTATTATTTTGGTCTTAAAACATAAATAAATTCAACATGTTTTAATGTCAAAATTGTATTGTTGTTTTGATACATAAAACCCCATTTCCTTCTCTAAACTTGTCATGGAGTGTAACATATATTTATTTAAAGATATCCTACAAGTATAAGTGGCCTTAATACATTTAGTTATATGTGTCAAACTGGTAAAACCTCTAGATTTGAAGAATAATGGCAAAGTATTGACAATTAATCCATATTTTTGGACATTTTTACACTAAATTACTGTGTTATCTGTAATCTTAAGGTAGGCCTATTATTTTGGTCTTAAAGCATAAATAAACCCAACATGTTCTAATGTCATAATTGTATTGTTGTTTTGATACATAAAACCCCATTTCCATCTCTAAACTTGTCATGGAGTGCAACATAATTCTGTATATTTTTAAAACTGTCCTAAAGTAATAGGTGGCCTTTAATTGATTTGTCAAAACGGTAAAACCTTTAAATTTAAAGAATAATAGCAAAGTGTTGACAATTAATCCGTATATTTGGGAACCAAACCGAGTCTTTTAAAATAGGCTAGGCTACCTGACGAGATGTTTTGGACGTGTTTACACCGAATTAAATACTAGTGTGTCATCTGAAAACCTCGGTATTGTTTTTGCTTTAAAACATGAAAAAAGGGGACACACTTTAATGTTCAACTTTATTAGATGTACTGATACACAAAAGCCCATTTTCGTCTCTGAACTCACGACGACGTTAGCAGTTTTTGTCTGTTCGTTTCATTATTTACATTAAATTCCCGGTGCGCTGTGCGGTCTGGCCAGCAGGGGCGCCATTATTACCAAGACGAGCAACAGCATCTGTGTCTGAGCTTGAAAAAACCCGGTAAAGTCTAGATGGGATACAGCTGCGGATACTCTGCGTAATTATTGTGACACTGTACAACATTATTTATATTTTAACTTACTGTGAAGGTTGGATTTAAGGTTGTGATAGTGAAAAACGTTAATAGAATCCAATTTAATTGGTAATTTAATAAATAACAAGAATAATACTTGGTGTAATTACTGTTTATACATTACTGTGACGGTTAGGGTAAAGGTAGACGTTAATAAAATAAAATTTTTAGGTAAAAAAATATAAATAATTCTTGTTAACTTTTGACCGCGGCTGTATCCCTTCTGAAACCCGAGCGGGGAATTCAGTCATTGTTGCTTTAAGAGATAAGCGACGCCCAGCGATACGTCATCGTCGTCGAAGCCAATCGCCGAGCAGAGTATGTAAAATCTGGTTTAAACCGGTTTCTATCTTAAATTTCAATATAAAAACTTAATAAAACATATAGAGCCGTTATTGTATTTTACGCGAGACGCTGTGAGGCGTGTAGGGAGCCGCTGCTGACGAGCATACTATACACACCCACACTCAGATTTTTTTTGCCATTTTTTCGGGTTTTTTCTGCAGCCAAGATGCCCAAAAGAAAGGTAAGAGTGCACTGAGATATCTCTATTTTTAACAAAAATCCTAAAATTCGATATTTGTCAACATATGTGTGCATTTTTTTGTATTTTTTGTTGCTGTTATTCGCTGTGATGGTGTAGTTGTTTTTTTAATAATGGCGGACGGTCGATTTTACATATTCACTGTCAGGGATACTGTCACCCTGTGACGAAAACACGAGGAAAAACGGCTGAAAATAAAACCACACGAGCTTTACTCATCGACTAATTCTGTAACCTATATATGCATTATGATTTCGATAAATATTCGTAAAAAACAAATCCGTAACATCCTGTATGATCGCCTGATCACTCGGTAATATAAATGGAGGGAACTTGCAGGTCTTGCGACGCTGGTCGAACTATTGCTCAACTATTACTCATATTTCCACACACAAACATACATAATGTATTAAATATGATCCTATTATCATCACATATATGATTTTGATGATTATAATGTTCGAAGTACATTTAAAAAAATAACATCGTGATAGTAAATTGGTTTAAAATCCCAATTCAAACGTGTATATATGTAGTCATTTTCACTAATAAAATCATGTATTGCACTGTTTTATCGCGTCTGTTAAGCTGGTCCTGTCATTGTTGATGTGCAGTATTCCGCCTACTCGAAACGTCAGGCTGCCATCTTTACAGCACCTGTGTGTCTTGTGAAGACGGCGCATTGCTTGTTATAAACCTTCAAACTGCATGTTAGTCTTATTTTTATACGTCATATCTAAGTATTCCATCGTGCTTTTATGCAAGCTGCGGATTTTTCGTGAGGAAAACAAAGGAACTGTACGCAGAGGATCGCCCCTCTGTCGTTTAAAAGGCGCGTAGTGATGCAGACAAACAAAAGGAAGCCGTCTTTGCCCGCGCGCTCTGACAGCCCGGATTTGAATTTGAATATGCGCGGGAAGACAGCAGAAATAAAGTCATCCGTTATGAAAAATAGCTCAGCGCCTGTGACGTAAAGACTCGAGGCTTTAACAAAGAACCTTATATATCGGTCGTTGTGGTATTATTAATGTTATTGTTATTAAATTACATTTTTAAGGCTTTTGAACAATTTTTAAAATTCTTTTAACGGTTTTTGTTTTTTGTTTTGTTCATTTAGATTGATGGTGAGAAGGGCGCCAAAGGCAAGGAGGAGGTTTGTCTTGTTTATTTAAATTTATATTTGCATATGTTTGTTTTTATGTATTATTATTAATAATTAATGCAAAATATGCTTATGAATATTACTGTAAATCGAAAAACAAACTTAAGATAAATTATGATACATAAATACATATATATATGTGTGTGTGTGTGTATATATATATATATATATATATATATATACATACACATACATGCATGTTTATGTATTTATATATATATATATATATATATATATATATGTGTGTGTGTGTGTGTATAAACATTTTAGCATACATTTCTAATCTGAATTTGTCCTGCAAATGGTTAAGAAATCACAACCTCTGAATTTAATTTTAGTTTACTAGTGTTTACGTTTCATTAGTTTACATCAGCCACCATAGATATTCACTATAATGGCCAAATAATACTCTATTTATTTAATTATTTTTTAATTCATATATATTTCTGTCCTTCCTAGTCATCGTATTTATTGTTAATTAATTTGTTTACATTTTTTTCAGCCAACAAGACGCTCCGCGAGGTTGTCTGCTGTAAGTATCATCTTTATGATATATTTAGGAAATTAAATAAATAACTAAATTGTTTATTGACAAAGTTCTTCATCTAATTAATCAACGAATGTTTTTTTTTTTTATATAGAAACCAGCTCCTCCTAAACCAGAACCAAAGGCCAAGAAAGCCGCCCCTAAGGTAACTTTCCTTAACATCCGATCATTTCGGTGACGTTTATTATATTTGTAATAACATTTAATGTAATTGATTATACAGAAGGCAGCCAAGGGAAAGAAGGGCAGCAACCCTGCTGAAAATGGAGATGCCAAGGCTGACCAGGTTTGTCTAAAGTGTTATTTACTCAATATTAATATCTATAATTAATTATAATTCTTTATTTTTATCCTCAACACACCACAAATCCTATATTTAGGAGTTACACAAGTTAAAGAGAGACCCCTGAGTGCTTCTGCTTTCACACTAAACTAATTAATGAAGCGATTTGTTAATTGCTCAGCTAAACCATCTGACTGATGTTTGTTTATCTTTGTTCCAGGCACAGAAGGTTGACGCTACTGGCGATGCCAAATGAGAAGCTAACGAGTGTCTGATCCTTCTATGTACTTGGTGACTGTACAGTTTGAAATAACTATTTTTTACCAAGTTTTATATTAAGAATAACATTTATAGTTGACTTGTTGACTTGCTTTTGATGTACTGATTGATTTGACAGGAGTTACTATATTTCATTCATATCCATTTGTATCCCATTTTTTAATCAAGCCGTCTGTATCTTGCCAAAATGGTTTGCACTCGCTAAATCGGTTGGCGGAACGCAAGAATACTGTCCTAAAGTTTGTTTATTGCTTTATCTATCCATCTATCTTTCTCTCTTTTTCGGTTTATCTTTGGATTTTAATCACCAAACATTCTCAAAAGGCAGCTTAAGAGTGTTTCTAAAGTGTTTTCGGAAGGGTTTTCACCATGTTGTTAGCATTTAAACGTACAAATACTGTGTTTTTATTCTTTTATTCTCTTTTTTTATTTGTAAGGAAGTTACAATGAAATTGTCACTAGAAAAAACAAAAACAAATAAGACAACAATGTTAAATAAATTTACAATGTGAACCTTCAATTTCCTTAGAGTTGTGTGTTCTGAATTTGTCTTTTTTATTAAGTTATGTTCTGAAACAGTGGAAGGATATTCAGTGACTCTTAAAATGCTTTGTTTTAAATGGTTTTGAATAAAAAAAAATAAAAAACTGTCCAGAAAGAAAACGTGTCGTGTTTTTGAATGTTTTGGTCAGCTAAATGTAAGTTTAAATGGGATTTTACTTATTAAAAACAATAGCATTATAATAAAATGTTGGATATATATACATATATATCTAACATTTGCATATAATATATAAATAATTTAAATAATTAACTATTTGCATTGAAGTAAATCAAATTGCCATAAGAGATCAAGTTCAATAAGGTCTCATTTGCTAAAAAAACACCCTTGCAGCACTTCCTTTTATAAATGTTAATAATTATAAATGTTAGTTCACAGTCCATTAACTTAATGTTGATTGATTAATACCTTTGTCTTATGGTGGGGTAATTTTTTCTGTTACAGCCACCAGAGTATGAAAGTAAAATATAATTACCATAAGAGATCAAGGGCAATGAGGTCTCATTTGGTAAAAAAAAATACATCAATTAACAAAAATACACTTTTCAGCACTTATGTCTTTTTTATAAATGTTGATAAATAGTATTTATATGTAAATGTAATGTTAGTTTACAGTCTTTTAACTTAATGTTGATTGATTCATACCTTTATTTGTCTTATGGTGGGGTATTTTCTGTTACAACCGTGTATATATATATGTGTGTGTATATATATATATATATATATATATATATATATATATATATATATATATATATATATATTGTAGAGCTGTGCATCGATAGATTTGCTCTTCAGTTTTTGGACTCTCAGCAGTGAATATTAAACCACACTAAACTAAACTGAACTTAAACTCTGAAAATGGAACTACACTGTTTCAGTTCACTATAATCTTCTATGTGAAGCTGCTTTGATTGTAAAAGCGCTAAAGAAATAAAGATGAATTGAATAAATTCAAAACATATATACATATACATAAATATAAATACCCGTATAAACACCTACATGTATTGTTTATTGTCCATAATAACTAACAAGTTTTATATATATGAGCAATTCCGTGCAAATGTCAACCTTGCCATAAAAAAAGTTTTCACCAAAATACACAAAAACCCCAGAAACAGTTTCTGTAAGCAAAACATATTCCTGAATGTATCTGTCAGTGTTTCAAACGATTATATTTAATTTGCCAAAATCACACAAGTGGCAATTTCACATCTGTCACATCCATAACAGAAAAGTGTCACATCCATAACGACACTTTTTCCTCAAGAATGTGAAAATATTAAATTAAATAAAACCAATCATTTTTGTTCTATAGAGAGCCAACTCTTATCCTTTTAATTAGCATTGTTTCTTTTGGGTTGTGCAGTTCATATCACAGAAATTCTACAAAGTATGCTGTATACTGTAATCTCGCAGATTTTTTTGTCACATCCATAACGCATGTTTATTTTCCTCATTTAAAATACAAAACATGTTTACAGATACTTTTCTGGTCCCAGAACTCTGAAAGAAGAAGAGAGAAAACATAAACAGATGTTTCAATGTAATGTTAACATATGCTTTCTATGTGAATTTATGTTTTGAGTTTTGACTGCAAATGTCACATCCATAACGCTGGAATAGCTCACATATATATACAGTTGAAGTCAGAATTATTAGCCCCCTTTTGATTTGATTTTATTTTTTTTAAATATTTCCCAAATTGTTTTTAACAGAGCAAGGAAATTTCCACAGTATATCTGATAATATTTTCTCTTCTGGAGAAAGTCTTATTTGTTTTATTTCGGCTAGAATAAAAGCAGTTATTAATTTTTTAAACACCATTTTTGGGACAATATTATTAGCCCCTTTAAGCTATATTTTTTTTCGATAATCTACAGAACGAACAATCGTTATACAATAACTTGCATAATTACTCTAGCCTGCCTAGTTAACCTTATTAACCTATTTAATTCTTCAAATGTCACTGTAAGCTGTATAGAATTGTCTTGAAAAATATCAAGTCAAATATTATTTACTGTCATCATGACAAAGATAAAATAAATCCGTTATTAGAAATGAGTTTTTTAAACTATTATGCTTAGAAATGTGCTGAAACAACCTTCCCTCCATTAAACAGAAATTGGTGGAAAAAAAAAAACAGGGGCGCTAATAATTCAGGGGGGCTAATAATTCTGACTTCAACTGAATATATATATATATATATATATATATATATATATATATATATATATATAGTAAATTTTATAAAGAGTTTCCCATATTTACATAAATAACAGGCAGGCTGCTGTTGTTGTTACATTAGTTCTCCGCTAGATGTCCCTGCCCCGTAAAAAATGAGCAAAAATGATTTAACCTGTATTTCAATGACTGCCCGGCAGGTGGCTCACTTTGCAAGCTAAAGCCAAAGGGCTCTATTTTCTCGCCAAGGGATCAAATAAATATTTCTCACCCAACACCTAAATGTCTTCACGTTAAACTCAATCTCACCTCCATTGTGAAGATATTTTCACAAGAGTGAGAAAGGGTTTTCTAGGAAAACATCTGCTCAGCACAAAGCCGCGTGGCCTACACTTTTCTTTAGCTGACAGCCTGACACCCATGAAAAGACATGTTTACACAACACAATGCGAATCCGTATATGATAAGAATAGATAGCATTATGATCATGTTTTAAATATTAGCCTAACTCTACGTTTGTCTAAACCTCACCATGCAGGAATGAAACAATGTTATGATCAGGATTATAAATGAAAAATAAGATTTCTTGCTTGAAACTTTACCTTAAACTTAGTTTTAGACTGTTGTTGCAGGTTTCTATATCATCACTGATCTTGTTTATGCAGCTAAAACTCATTAAGGGGGTTTTATTGACCATCATAGCCGCCATACTTCAAGCTAACTTCTATTTGGTTGACCTGTAGGCTACATTAGGCAAATTGGCAATTGGATTGTCTTTATTAGCTCTATTAAAATGTATATAAGGGTCAATCTAATGTATAGGTTTCAAACTCAATTCCTGAAGGGCTGCAGCTCTGCACGGTTTTGCTACCCTATCAAACGCAGCTGATCCAAATAATCGAGGTGCTCAGTTGAGTAAAGCTGCAGTCACACTGGACTTTTCTCCTCATAGACTACCATTCATACACACTCAGAGTAGAAACGCAAGCTCAAGCGACAAGTTTCGCAGTTCACTGCGTTGCCAGGTTCAAGCTTGGGGAACTGTAACCTGCGAAACCGCATCACCCCACATAGCAAATTGACTTGGCCCATATGTGGCTTCAATATGGCACTGCTAGCATGTTGCCAGCACTGGCATGCATAATGTCAGCAGAATGTGGGCCATGCCTGGCAATGATGGCACTGCATGTATGACGGCAAACTACATTTGGGCCAGTTGTGGATGGGAGGTGTGTGGCTAGATCAGTATAGCAATTGTTCACGTTGTTTACCCTAGTAGCAAAGAATTCTGGCCCAGATTTTTCAAAAAGCTGGCACAGCAGGCATTCATCCGGCACTGGCATACAGCATGTGGGCCAAACATGACACTAAAATCATTTTTGAGTAAAGAAAAAAAATTCTACCAATCAGGTCACTTTGAGAAAAAGCGTGCACATAGTGTGCCTAAAGCGCATCACTCCATGGGTTTATCAATTTCATTGCAATCGTGACACACCAACCTATCTGGCCCAGTTCAGGCCCAGTAATAAGTTATTAACTTGGCTGAGACTTGGCCCAGATATGGTCTGTGTTTGGCCCTTGTCTGGAAGCCAGATTTGGTCCAGTCATGTACCGTAATTCACTGCGGCATGTGGGCCAAGCAAAACCTGATTGTGTGGGCCAGAGCTGGGCCAGAGAAATTTTGCTATGTGGGTAGGTAACATTAGCCCACGTTGCAAATGTTTTCTGGCCCAGCTCCGGGCCACACAATAACTTTTCCCTCGCCCCAAGTACCTTAAAGAATGATGATCCTGAAGTGGTCCATAACTAAATTAAAGACAAGGGCCACAAATGGGCCATAACTGGCCTGAATTTTAGCCAATGCATTACCCTGAACTGGGCCAAAACAGGTTTATTGGTACAGATTCTCAGCTATAAGTTAAACATATCAACACCACCCTTTGACCAGAAACCCTAAAAACTGAGCCATAACCCAGCCTAATGTCACCTAAACAATGTGAACAATCACTACACTGATCTGGGCCACACACATCCTTTCCACAACTGGCCCAAATGAAGTTTGCCGTCATGCATGCAGTGCCATCATTGCCATGCATGGCTCACATTCAGCTGACATTATGCATGCCAGTGCCAGCAACATGCCAGCATCGCGAAAATAAGGCCACATTTGGGCCAAGTCCATTTTATGTGGGAGTTATGGCTCAGTTTTTGGGGTTTCTGGTTAAAGTATAAACTTCGATACTAATAATAAATTTGTTTTGGCCCAATTCAGGGCCAGTTAAGGGTGATACGTATGCTGAGATTCACCCATGTGTGGCCCTTGTCTTTAATCTAGTTATGGGCCACTTCAGGACTGTCATTCTTTGCGGGACATACTTTGCGGGCCAAGGCAAAAGTTATTGTGTGGCCCGGAGCTGGGCCAGAAAACATTTGCTATGTGGGAAGTTAACCATATCAAGACCACCCTTTAACCAGAAATCCCAAAAACTGAGCCATAACCCAGCCTAATGTTACCTAATGTGACCAGTTGCTATACTGACCTGGGCCACACTCCTCCCATCCACAACTGGCCCAAATGTAGTTGGCCAACATGCATGCAGTGCCATCATTGCCATGCATGGCCTACATTCAGCTGACATTATGCTTGCCAGTGCCGGCAACTCGCTAGCAGTGACATATTGAGGCCACATTTGGGCCAAGTCCGTTCAATAGTATCTGGATGCAGCCTTTATGATGCAAGCTGAGATTGCATCACTCAGCGATGCAATGTCAGACAATGCACTCAAATGGAGTGAGTGACGTCACTGTGAGGGGTAGGGTTAGGGGTGGGGTTAGGTGAGCACATTAAAAAAACATTGGATGCAGCTCAGATTGCACTGCACCAGGTCTGCATCCAGACCCCACTCAGTCTGTT